TGTCCCTGTGGGGTGGCACCCCCTATGTGACCCCTCTTGTGTCCCTGTGGGGTGGCACCCCGTGTGACCCCTCTCCATGTCCCTACAGGGTGGCAACCCATGTGTGACCTCCCTACATGTCCCTCTACAGGATAGAACCCCTTGTGTGACACTCCTCTGTGTTCTTATGGGGTGGCACACCTTGTGTGACCCCCCCTTGTGTCCCTACAGGTGGCACCCCATGTGTGACCCTCCTGTGTGTCACTATGGGGTGGTACATGTGTGTCCCACTAATTGTGTAGGGGGGCATGGAAACCCTAGAGGGTCTGGGCACCCCCAGAGGAATGGGGGGCACCCTACAGGGTCCAGACACCCCCTACAAAAGCAAAGAGCACCTGTTTGGATACCCCCGATGGGGCTGTGGGTGCCCTGTGGGATCTGCGCACCCCCAGTGGGGTGTGGGGCACCCTATATGGGGGCTGGGTCCACTCAGCAGGGTGAAGGCACCCCATGAAGTCTACAGACCCCGCAGCAGGAGTGGGGAACACCCCGTGGGCTCTGAGCACCCCACACTGCTCTGATGGGCACCCTATGGGCTCCCCACAAGCTGAGACCCACCCTATGGGGCCTGGGCACTCTGTGGGGTTCAGCAACCTTCACTGGGGTGACAGGCACCCTATGGGATCTGAGCACCCCACTGTGGGGTGATGGGCACCCCATGCATAGCAATGAGTACCCTACAGGGTCAGGACCCATTATAGAGTCCCAGGCACCCCACAGCAGGACCATAGGCACCCTCATAGGTCCTGGCCACCCTACAGGTTCAGGACCCATTATAGGGTCCCAGGCACCCCACAGCAGGACCATAGGCACCCTCATAGGTCCTGGCCACCCCACAGCAGGACCACGGGCACCCTACGAGTCCCGGCCACCCCACAGTGAGACAATGGGCACCCCATGAGTTCTGAGCACCCCACAGCAGAATGATGAGCACCTGGTGGGTCCCAGCCACCCCACAGTGGGACAATGGGCACTCCACAGGCCCTGGGCACCCCACAGCGGGATGACAGATACCCTACAGTGGCATGATGGGCACCCCATGGGTCCTGGCCACCTTGCTGCAGGACCATGGGCACCCTATGGGTCCTGGGCACCCCACAGTGGGACAAAAGGCACTCCATGGGTCCTGGGCAGTCACAGCAGGATGATGGGGACCCTATGGGTCCTGGGCACCCCAAAATGAGGCAATGGGCACCTAATGGGTCTGGACACTCTGCAATGGGATGATGGGCACCTGATGGGTCCCAGCCGTCCCACTGTGGGATGATGGGCACCCCACAACTCCTGGGCACCCATAGCAGGATGACAGGTACCCAAGGGGTCCCAGCCACCCTGCTGAAGACCCATGGGGACCCTATGGGTTCTGGGCACCCCACAGTGGGCCGATGGGCCCCCCATGGGTCTTGACCATCCGACAGCAGGATGCCAGGCACCCTGTGGGTCCTGGCTGCCCCTCACCACGATGCCCTCCACGTCCCATCCGCCCCCCAGTGCCGCAGGGTGCCCCTTACCATCTGTGCCCGCAGGTACATCTGTGCCTGGCTGGCGGTGAGGGCGGGCGAGGCGGCGTTGCCCAGCAGCACCGCCTGCTGCGCGATGCCCGAGGCGCCGGGGCCCACGCTCTGCGCCCGGTTCAGCAGCTGCGCCGCCGCCGGCGACGTCGCCAGGTTGATCTGGAACGGGGCGTCAGGACAAGGTCAGGGTGCTGGCACGGGTGGGTGGGTGCCGCCGTGCCAGGCGCCCAGGGGCCGTGGGACTCACCGTGGGCTGCTGCGCCGGGGCGGGCTGGGCGCCGTTGCCCGCCGAGGAGCCACTCTGCCGGTTGGCCGCCAAGCTCGCCTTGGGGAGAAGCGAAACGGTGAGGGGGGGTGTGCCAACCCCGAGCGCCCCGGGGGTGCCCCCGAGGCGGCCCTACCTGCTGGACGGCGGCCAGGCTCTGGAGCTGGGCGCTGGTGAGGTGCTGCTGTTGCAGGGCGGCCGTCTGCAGCATGAGGTGCTGCTGCTGCGCCGCGTACATCTGCTGCAGGTACTGCGCCGCCGTGTTGGGCTGCCGGTGCAGCGCCTGCTGGATCACCTGTGGCGGGGGGCAAACGTGGCCCTGGGCAGCGCCACGACCCCCATACCCCCCCGAGCCCCCCCGGGAACCCTTTGGCCCCCCCGGGCCGTACCTGCACGGTCTGGCGGTCGGGGATGCCGCTGTACACGGAGATCTGGGGCCCGGGCGGGCGCGTGGCCGCGGTGCTGGCGGCGGCCGGGGCGCTGCCCCCGGAGCTGCTGGCGGGGGCCGGCGCCGGGAGCTGCTCGTTCTCCATGGTGGGGCCGGGGCGGGGGGAGGGCGCGGGTCAGGCTAGAGCTGGGGGGGAAAAGGGGTGAGAGGGGCACCCTGCAGCACCCTGGGCTGGGCTACCAGGGTGAGAGGGGCACCCCACAAAGCCCACGGCCAGGTGAGGGCCGGGGGGCCGGGACTGAGAAGGAGGAGGAGGGTGGGATGGAGGAAGAACAGCAGGACGCCCCGTGGTTCATCCTCCTGGGAAAACACCCTGGAAGACAGGGAATGGGAGGATGGACGGGACAGAGGGAAGAGAGATGGAGCTGAGGAGGTAGAGATGGACAGAAGGACGGACTGGAGGAGGAGACAAAAGGAAATGAAGGAAGGAGGGAAGGAGAGAAAGAAATGAGGGAAGGGGAGGAGGGAAGTAGGAAAGGGTCAAAGAACAGACAGACAGAAGGAAGTAGGGAAGAGATGGAAAGAAAGAGACCAAGGGAGAGATGGAAGTAGGAAAGGACAGACAGGACAGGTGGAAGTAGGAAAGTGATGAAGGGAAGGATGGAAGGAGAGACAGAATGACAGACCAGGGGAGGAGAGGGATGGACAGAAGGATGAATGGATGGATGGATGGATGGATAGACAGAAAGGGGAAAGGGATGGGAGGGGCGAGGAAAGGGATGGGAAAGGGGAAAGATTGATGGAAGTAAGGAAGGAGGAAAGGGAAGTATGGGAAGGGCAGAAGGAAGGATGGAAGGAATGATGGATGGATCAATGGATCTAAGGATGGAAGGAAGGAACAATGGATGGATGGACAGAAAGACAGAATGAGGAAAGGAACCAAGGACAGAAGGGAAGGCTGGACAGAAGGAGGGAAGGAAGGGAGGGACCAAGGGATGGAGGGAAGGACAGACAGACAGGAGGAAGTATGGCCAGATGGAAAGACACAAAGGAGGGAGAGAGGGATGGAAGAAAGGCCAGATGGATGTAGGAGAGGGACACAGGTACACGAGGAAGGACAGACAGAGGGGAAGGGAAGATGGGAGGAAGGGCAGAAGGGAGGAAGAAGAGGGATGAATGGATGGCAGGAAGGGGATAGACAGTGGGACAGAAGGACAGGAGGAGGACAGGGACAAAGGGACAGTGCTGGGGGAGTGTAGGGGGGTTCGTGGGCAGCACCCCCATCACTGCCACCACAAGGCTCCGTGGTCACCAACAGCCACCCACGGCCACTGTGCTCCCACCCAGGTCACCCGGCCCTGCCCAGCCCCTGCAGTGCCACTGTCACAGGTGTCACCACAGCAGGACCAGGGACAGTGGGGTGGGGCACTGCAGACCATGGTGGGTGGCCTTGGCCAGGCCACCCTAGCCACCCCCAGCCCCAGCGTGGCACCCAA